GCACACACACGTGTGTCTGCGTGTTTGCTGCTGATAAAACAATATGAGGACAGTGAGCATCTGCGGGGGAACATCTTCTGTGTGACCCACCAAAGGACTTCTGACCAGAGCCTGAGAAGCCAATCACACCTACGTCTGAGTCTGTGACTCATCAATAACGTAATTCAAGTCGTCAATTATGTCCTGTGATGTCCCACTGAGAGAGACAAGAAATCACCCCAGACTCTGACAGAGGAAGACATTAAGCCTAGTGCGTCATTTAGAGGACTCCCCTCTAGAACTGACCTTTGAGAACCACAGTGTGATACCACAGTGGGAAATGAATGTGTGAATCCACTTTTAGCCCAAAGAGTTTTAGCCCAAAGTCACTATCGTCACTAGTCTCTTGGCAACGACTATGGAAGACAGTTGGGGTGCTACCATGGAAGACATTAAAGTTACATGACGCCATCTAACCAATCAAATTGCATGAAGTAAACACAGTGGGTCAATTTACGCAACAACTAAGAGCCTTGAAGCGCAAGGCTTAACTTCTCTGCTGTTCTGGTCCCGAAGTTAACACGTTGTAGAAGCGCACCCGTGCACATGCGCAGATCAACTGAAACTGCAATGTCCAAACTCTCTTTGTATATGGGTCCTGGACTAGAGTAGCCTACAGAATAGGTCTACAGAGTACGTGCTCTGGGTCCCCTGTAGCTCAGTTGGTAGAGCATGGCGCTTGCAACGCCAGGGTTGTGAGTTCGTTTCCCACGGGGGGGGGGGGGGGGCAGTATGAAAATGTATGCACTCACTAACTGTAAGTCGCTCTGGATAAGAGCATCTGCTAAATGACTCAAACGTAAAATGTGCTGGATGAATGATGTCTAAAACAGATAGGAAACGACTAGGAGCCAATAATGAGAAAACCACACCTCAATACACTATCAGGCTATGGCAGACTAATAGAGAAGCAGTGTACTAGCCACCTAACTACTCTCTAAGGGATGTAAAGCTATGTTTAGAAACATCCTGAGAAAGTGTGAGAGACATGATCTGGTACGTTTGCAGGTCAGGTTGATGCTAACATCAGGATGTAGTGTTGGGCTCCTGTAGGGGCTGAGGGTGGTGACGGGGCCGTAGTAGAATCATGTATGACACAATGAATCGTTGAGTGGAGAAAGGAATGTGTGAAAGTGTCTGATTCACTAGGGGCCCTGAAATGACATGACCTGTTTTAACATGACATGAGCCCGAGAGGAGAAGAGAGAAAGAGAGAGGGAGAGAGCGAGATACATAGAGAAAGACGGAGGGAGGGAGGTAGGGAGTGAGAGAGAGAGAGAGAGAGAGAGAGAGAGAGAGAGAGAGAGAGAGGTGAAGCAAGTGAGCAAGAGTGAAAGAGAGAGGTGATGCAAGAGAGAAATATAAATAAAAAGAGACAGAAAAAACCAAAGGGAAGAGAAAAAGGGGTAGAGCGAAATAATGCATTGAGAGAGCATCGCTGTGCCTTGGAGTACTGTTGTGTTCTCTAACTGAGTGACAGGTTCCATAGTGTCCTGTCCCCCTTCCCCAGCTGTGTTATGAATGATACACAGCATGGATATCGCCTTCCTCCCTCTGTTACCTCCCTCCCTCCGCCAGCTGTAGAGAAGAAGGTGTTCCTGAAAACACTCTCCGGAGGACACACAAACACACACACACACACATCATCCTGTCTGGCTCTCTGAACTGAAGAGGACCCTCAAAGCATTTCTACTTCACACTCCTATTTCAGAGAAAACACTAAAAAAAACAATAATGTTACCCCAAATTAGATTCCATCATAATCAAAAGAGCAGAACTGAAAGCAGTAGCGGCAGCAAGGTTGTAGGCAGGTAGAGGTGCAGTAGTCAGTCAGAGAGGCCAAGCAAGATAGAGCAGCAGGCAAGATCTTAAAAGGAAGGTGTGGCTGTTCTAACGGTTTGACTAACAGTCGCAAATTCCCTTTAAATCCAGTTTGCTGGAGGTCTGGCCGAGTCCACGCAGACGACTTTCTCTTCATTCTTTCTCTTCGTTTGCTTCTCTCTCCAAACATTCTATCCTTTTCCACATCTCCCCTCATTTCTCTTTCATGTCCCACCATTTTCTCCCTCTCTCTCTATCTCGGCCCTCCCTCTCTTTCCTCCTTCCTCTTCAACCATTCTCGCTCTCTCTTTCTCTCTCTCTCTCCAGACTTACATTGACGATGGCCTCCTTGGTCTGAGCCATGTCTGATATGACTCCGTCTGTGATGATGAGGAGGACGAAATACTGGGACCCATCCTGAACCGCTGCAGCATACCTGGAGAGGAACACACGCGCGTACAAACACACATACGCACGCACGCATGCAGGTCAGGCAGGACGCACGCACACACACACACACACACAAACAGATTGTGAGTAAAACGCAAACAAACTCTGAACCAAACTCAAACTCACAATGACCAATGACAGGCTTGAATGTCATTTTTTATCTAATGCCATTGTATTACATTTACATTTACGTCATTTAGCAGACGCTCTTATCCAGAGCGACTTACAAATTGGTCTCCATCTTCTCGACTCCCTCCTACATTTCAATGTCTATTCAATGAAAAGAATATACTCTGATATCATTCTGCAGATTGATAACATTCATTATATTCATTATCATACCTCAAAAACACTTTGACCTCAAACACTGCAGGATATGAAGTTGAACTACGCTGTGTGATTCTGTGATCAACTGAGTGTCTGTGTTCATTTGTTCCCTTTCAGCCCAACTCCATTCACATGGTAATGGCTAGAGGACTGACTGTTACCGTGACTGGAGGGTCATATTCACAACTCTTTTATCTCTATGGTCTTATCACTTTTTGTTTGAAAAGTTATCAGACTGGGGACTAGGTGTGTGTGTGTGCCTGTGTGTGTGTGTGTGTGTGTGTTAGTGATAAGCGGGTCAGCTGTTTGTTCACCCACACCAGCCTGCAATTGCTAATAACCCATCCGCAACCGCCCGACTATATGTGATAAAGTGAAAATCTGAGTCCCACACCCGACCCTAATCCACAAATGACAAGCCTTTTTTAGATAGGCTTATGTTTCTGCTTATAATTTCCGACATTTTTGTAGGCTATTTGTTAGTCATCTTGTCTATAGGTACATGCAGCTTCTGTTCTGTTATTATGCCTACTTGTTGCCCTAGAAGACTAAATAAAGACTTGCTCACCAGAATAATGTCATAGATCGATAGAATGAATGCTTCAATCTAGTTGACATGAGTAAAGTTTGTTTTCTCTTTCATCCCTGCTTCACTTGAGCAGCAAAGACGTTTAGGGACTGTGGAGAACATGCAATAACAAAAACAAATACGTAAAAGATTTACGTGCAACATGTCCAAATGACATCAGCTTGACCGGTTTTAAGGAAATTAAAAGCTGTTAAAACAACCCAACATGTTTCGGATAAGATTTCAGTTTGGCTTGGATGCATATTTTATGTTTTTGAAATGCTATCAGCTTTTATGATGCTGATAAAGATCGCACCTTTACAGACGGTCCTTAACCGCGCATTCATTCTCTCAAGATGCTGAAATGTGAATTTGGTCTCTCATTTTACTGCAAGAAATGTTTAATTCTGCAGGAGTTCATAATATATTAGGCTATATGAGATGTTATAGACCTACAGTCAGTGTCCAGATTTCAGTCAGGTTACTATTCCATTTAACCCATCTGAACAGTAGGTTACAGTCCCCTTGATGTGCCATACTGAAGTCCCCGTCTTGTGACTGTCGAATTTGTATAACGCCTCACAATCATCACACATAACAAAGCTGGCACTGCTATCATACTCTTTTAGCATTTCACCAAATCTTTCCCAAACATTACACTACTATTCTGGCCCTCCCTTTTATGTATTTTCTCCATTTCGCAGCTTTTCTCTTATTGAATTAAACTCCGACATTGTCCTTTTTGCCTCAGTGGATCGATGTTAACTTTTACTGCTCAAGTTCCCAAAAGGCAATTGCTGTGTATTTGGCGCACTATAGTAATGCCCTGAAGCTTAGGCATAAGCTACACACTAACGGCAGATAAAAAGAATGAAAGAAAAACCTCAATGTAGCCTATAGAAATGAATTGCACAAGAATGATACATTTATGGATTTTTGTATACATTGTTTTCTCTTTATTCTACCAGCCCACCACCCACACGTTCTTCATCCACACAATACTATATTTCATGGCCCTAAACCCGCCCGCCGCATGGATATAACCGTGGGTAATGCGGGTTATGAGTCAACCCACGCATCACTAGTGTGTGTATCCCATCATCCCAAGCTAGCCTTGTGTGTGTGTGCAGCCTATGTGTGTGTATAGCAGTGTGTGCATTTATCAATCTTTTTTCCACCTCCTACTCCTCCTCTAATGTGATCAGAGTGCTTGCCCTCTCTGACTCTCTGAGTTCTGTTTATGTGTTTATGTTTACGTTGAGTGCTCCGCTGCCAGCCTGGTGAGTCAGTCATTTATTTATTCTATCACAGTGCCAGGGCGTTAATGTGTGTCACATCCTGTGCTTTGGGTTTTTCTGTCCATTAAAAGGCCAATCGTCACGGCCTGTGGGGTCAGAACAGGAGAGAAGCCCAGGGATGGAAGACTGAGTATGAATTACTGGGATTACTGTAGTCGAACAACTACATGACAAGGTTGATATCTGACAGCAGCAAAAAAATTGACATTTTACGCTGGCTTGCACTGCTGATGATCTGTGATAGCAGATTTGTGAGTGTGTGTGCCTGTATGTCTGCCTGTGTGTACAGTATGTGTGTATATGTGTGTGTATGTGTGTGTGTGTGTATGAGTGTGTGCGTCTGCCTGTATGTACGTGTGTATATGTATGTGTTTGCATATGCGCGCCTGCGTGTTAATGCTTGTGTATTTGTGCGTTTGTGTGTGTGTATGCGTCCATTACCTGGCCACGTGGTTGACTACAGGGGCGAAGTTGGTTGGTCCGTAGAGCTGAACAGTCTTCAGACTCTCGTGATAGGCCTCCAGGATGCCCTCTATACCGTTACAGTAGGGGTTCTCTATGTTACCGTTCTGGAGAGGAGAACAAGAGAACAATCAACAGGTTTAAAAAAGTTTGCTATAGTTTATCTATACCATTAAAGTAGGGCTTCTCTATGTTAACGTTCTGGAGAGGAGAAACAATCAACAGGGTAAAATCTCTTGTATTTAATAAATCAAGATCTTCTTTCTGGAGTGGACCATCATTCGCTGAATTTGGTGAATCAAGTAAATTCAAGTCCAGTCCAGTTCAATCTTGTCCAGTCCAGTTCAGTTCAGTAACAAGTGACCACAAAGGGCTCTGTGTTTGACTCACCAGGGGGAACTCATGTGAGACCCGTCCATCCGGGGGCAGCGTGGCTCCAAAGCCCAGGGCAGGGAACATCTTATCACTGTCGTAATCCTGAATGATCTCCCCTACAGCCTTCAAGGCCATGGCGTATGCATTCATCTGGTATGGGTTCATGTAGTGTAGAGAAGTGGACTGGGACGGGTTACCTAGGGAGGGGGAAGAAGGCAGAGGTCAATATACAGTATGACCACTTTGTTCATTGTTGAGAAAGGGGGCTGGAATGCTGTTTCAACTAAATCAAGCGCAGCAGGTTCATACAGGAAACCTGAGTATTGTAGTGTTCACCTACCAACACGACAACGACCCTAAGCACACAGCCAAGACAATGCAGGAGTGGCTTCGGGACAAGCCTCTGAATGTCCTTGAGTGGCTCAGTCAGAGACCGGACTTGAACCCGATCTAACATCTCTGGAGAGACCTGAAAATAGCTGTGCAGCAATGCTCCCCATCCAACCTGACAGAGCTTGAGAGGATCTGCAGAGAAGAATGGGAGAAACTCCCCAAATACAGATGTGCCAAGCTTGTAGCGTCATAACCAAGAAGACTTGATGCTGTAATCGCTGCCAAAGGTGCTTCAACAAAGTACTGAGTAAAGGGTCTGAATACCTATGTAAATGTGATATTTATATTTTTCATTTTTAATAAATTAGCAAAAAATTGTAAAAACCTGTTTTTGCTTTGTGTGTAGATTGGGGGGGGGGGGGGGGGGGGGGGGCATTTAATACATTTTTGTACAAGGCTGTAACATAACTAGATGTGAAAAAAGTCAAGGGGTCTGAATACTTTCCGAGGGCACTGTATATAATATACATACACTACCAGTCAAAAGTTTGGACACACCTACTCATTCAAGGAAGATAGCCCATATTATGGCAAGAACAGCTCAAATAAGAAAAGAGAAACGACAGTCCATCATTACTTTAAGACACGACGGTCAGTCAATACGGAACATTTCAAGAACTTTGAAGATTTCTTCAAGTGCAGTCGCAAAAACCATCAAGAGCTATGATGAAACTGTCTCTCATGATGACCGCCACAGGAATAGAAGACCCACAGTTACCTCTGCTGCAGAGGATAAATTCATTAGACTTACCAGCCTCAGAGATTGCAGCCCAAATAAATGCTTCACAGAGTTCAAGTCACAGACACATCTCAACATCAACTGTTCAAAGGGGACTGTGTGAATCAGGTCTTCATGGTCGAATTCCTGCAAAGAAACCACTACTAAAGGACACCAATAAGAAGAAGAGACCTGCTTGGGCCAAGAAACACGAGCAATGGAAATTAGACCGGTGGAAATGTGTCCTTTGGTCTGTAGTCCAAATTGGAGATTTTTGGTTCCAACCGCCGTGTCTTTGTGAGACGCGGTGTGGGTGAACGGATGATCTCCGCATGTGTAGTTCCCACCGTAAAGCATGGAGGAGGAGGTGTTATGGTGGGGGTGCTTTGCTGGTGACACTGTCTGTGACTTATTTAGAATTCAAGGCACACTTAACCAGCATGGCTACCACAGCATTCTGCAGCGATACGCCATCCCATCTGGATTGGGCTTAGTGGGACTATCATTTGTTTTTTAACAGGACAATGACCACTCCAGGCTGTGTAAGGGCTATTTTACCAAGAAGGAGAGTGATGGAATGCTGCATCAGATGACCTGGCCTCCACAATCCCTCGACCTCAACCCAATTGAGATGGTTTGGAATGAGTCGGACCGCAGAGCGAAGGAAAAGCAGCCAACAAGTGCTCAGCATATGTGGGAACTCCTTCAAGACTTTTGGAAAAGCATCCCAGGTGAAACTGGTTGAGAGAATGCCAAGAGTGTGAAAAGCTGTCATCAAGTTAAAGGGTGGCTATTTGAAGAATCTCAAATATAAAATATATTTAGATTTGTTTAACACTTTTTTGGTTACTACATGATTCCATATGTGTTATTTCATAGTTTTTAATGTCTTCACTATTATTCTACAATGTAGAAATAGTAAAAATAAAGAAAAGCCCTTGAATGAGTAGGTGTGTCCAAACTTTTGACTGGCACGGTATATACACTGCTCCAAAAAAAAAAAGGGAACACTTAAACAACACAATGTAACTCCAAGTCAATCACACTTCTGTGAAATCAAACTGTCCACTTAGGAAGCAACACTGATTGACAATAAATGTCACATGCTGTTGTGCAATGGAATAGATAACAGGTGGAAATTATAGGCAATTAGCAAGACACCCCCAATAAAGGACTGGTTTTGCAGGTGGTGACCACAGACCACTTCTCAGTTCCTATGCTTCCTGGCTGATGTTTTGGTCACTTTTGAATGCTGGCGGTGCTTTCACTCTAGTGGTAGCATGAGACGGAGTCTACAACCCACACAAGTGGCTCAGGTGGTGCAGCTCATCCAGGATGGCACATCAATGCGAGCTGTGGCAAGAAGGTTTGCTGTGTCTGTCAGCGTAGTGTCCAGAGCATGGAGGCGCTACCAGGAGACAGGCCAGTACATCAGGAGATATGGGGGAGGCCGTAGGAGGGCAACAACCCAGCAGCAGGACTGCTACCTCCGCCTTTGTGCAAGGAGGAGCAGGAGGAGCACTGCCAGAGCCCTGCAAAATGACCTCCAGCAGGCCACAAATGTGCATGTGTCTGCTCAAATGGTCAGAAACAGACTCCATGAGGGTGGTATGAGGGCCCGACATCCACAGGTGGGGGTTGTGCTTACAGCCCAACACCGTGCAGGATGTTTGTCATTTGCCAGAGAACACCAAGATTGGCAAATTCGCCACTGGTGCCCTGTGCTCTTCACATATGAAAGCAGGTTCACACTGAGCACATGTGACAGACGTGACAGAGTCTGGAGACGCCGTGGAGAACGTTCTGCTGCCTGCAACATCCTCCAGCATGACCGGTTTGGCGGTGGGTCAGTCATGGTGTGGGGTGGCATTTCTTTGGGGGGCCGCACAGCCATCCATGTGCTCGCCAGAGGTAGCCTGACTGCCATTAGGTACCGAGATGAGATCCTCAGACCCCTTGTGAGACCATATGCTGGTGCGGTTGGCCCTGGGTTCCTCCTAATGCAAGACAATGCTAGACCTCATGTGGCTGGAGTGTGTCAGCAGTTCCTGCAAGAGGAAGGCATTGATGCTATGGAGTGGCCCGCCCGTTCCCCAGACCTGAATCCAATTGAGCACATCTGGGACATCATTTCTCGCTCCATCCACCAACGCCACGTTGCACCACAGACTGTCCAGGAGTTGGCGGATGCTTTAGTCCAGGTCTGGGAGGAGATCCCTCAGGAGACCATCCGCCACCTCATCAGGAGCATGCCCAGGCGTTGTAGGGAGGTCATACAGGCACGTGGAGGCCACACACACTACTGAGCCTCATTTTGACTTGTTTTAAGGACATTACATCAAAGTTGGATCAGCCTGTAGTGTGGTTTTCCACTTTAATTTTGAGGGTGACTCCAAATCCAGACCTCCATGGGTTGATACATTAGATTTCCATTGATAATTTTTGTGTGATGTTGTTGTCAGCACATTCAACTATGTAAAGAAAAAAGTATTTAATAAGATTATTTCATTCATTCAGATCTAGGATGTGTTATTTTAGTGTTCCCTTAATTTTTTTGAGCAGTGTATATAATTGTTTTGCATACAATATAGCTCAGTATTTGTATTATTTATTTGATAGTCTTTTTTGCTCATTTTTATCAAGGGATCCAATAATTACAGACCCCATTGTATGCTCTGGCAGTGAGCTACAGCGAAGGAGCAGAGCCTAACGCCAAGACTAATGTAAGTGCATGTATTGCAATCTTTTCTAATAAATGGTTAAACAAATATGTGGCGTTTCCTGTCTGAAACTTAACATCAAGTCCACATCCCAGTTCATCCCTAACCCAAATACAGCTAAAAAATAACAATGATTCAGAACTCTCCTTCTCTTCAACCCCTCAAAGATAAACTACTGCCTGCTCTCACCAGCCCTGTCACACAATGAATGAGAATAGGAAGGAATACTCTGATAGGCTAGGAGCTGAATGGAAGGGTAGGAAATCAAAAATGAACTACTGAGCTAGAGGCTCCAAATAAGTGGAGTGATTAGACTTAAGTGTGGCCTTTTAGACTGTGGTAAGGAGGGTGTATTCAGCCATCTTGCGTGCCATTTGGGCTCTGACGCAGTGCTATTCTGGGGCACAGTGGCAGCCACTTCAGGGACAGCATGGTGGTATTGACAATAGGCACTCAGGAAGAAAGGCAGGGGGTGACCCAGACCCAGAGAGACACGTAGAGTATGGAGGAATACTGAGGTTTTGAGTGTGTGTTTCAAGTTTTATTTGTCACAAGAACAAGTACAGTGAAATGCTTAACTTGCTAGCCCTACCCAACAGTGCAGTATTCAATATCAAAATAGTATAACAAATAAGAAAATAATAAAAACAATAAAAATAAACATGAGAAATAGAAAATAGGAGAAAGAAAAAAAATATGAATGTAAGCAATTGTCATGACTGTCCTGTTCTGGTTGCAAATGTGCAGATCAGGTTTAGAAAGGATAACTTCTACCAGACCCCTCTCACCCGCAGAGGGGAGGAGGGATTGGTGTGTTTTTTTTTGACACTTCACACCCTGTCATAAATTTTATGCAGGAGAAGATTCTCTCCTGACCCTCCAGTATTTGCTAAAGGAATGCTTTGTCTGCAGATACTTTTTCCCGCCCAAAGCTCTAACGTCTAAAAAGTGAATACCGGAACAATATTCCTAACAGAAGAACGTGGGGAATGGTCAGTGGGGATCTAACGAATGATCATATCTTATGGATTGTTATTTTGTGATGTCACTAAAACTAGTCTCAAGAAAATACTGTAACTTGAAAAGTATACACACTATATATGTCAAGTTTTCATCTTTTATGATGTATAGGAAATATGAAGAATTACATTTTTGTTAAGATAGGAATGTGATTTTAGTTCTGACGAGATCATAGAATGCTTTGCACAAGTAATTAGCCACGCCCCGAGGGAGCTCAGAGAGTGTGTCCGCATGACGGAATGCCCCTTTTAACCAGAGTGTATAAAAGGATGACTTAAGAATTAACATATCAGACCAGAAAGACTCGAGCTGTAGCTCATGTCTCTATATTGGTTACAACCCTGAAAATCAACATGAGGTGAAGACGACAAAGTCACCTCTCTAACAGTCAATGTTATGGCTGATTAGCTGTTCTAAGTCCTGTATCTAGGAAAGTGTATTTAAGTCGGACCATCCTGTTACTCTCTTCAAACCATCGTCTACTACACTGCTCTCATCACCCAACTGGGGATCATCGACATGGCTGATTAGCTGTCTTCAGAGGACCACTCTTCAGAACGAGTGAAAGGAAACACCACCATGTTGTTTTTTTCCCAGACTACATGACCAGTCATTGAAGCCACGGGCAACTAAGAAGAAGGACATTGTGACCTCTTGTGAACAATCAGAGCCTTACACTCAAAGTTCGAGAAAAGGCCCAACCGACCCCTTCCCAAGAAGGCTTGAGTCCAACAGAGATAAACGATGAAGGAAGAAATCCAATGTAAATACATTCATGATTTCTTACTCCAAACGGGCGGCGGTTAATGTGCAAAGTATTATGATTACTGTGAGGGTAGCTTCCAAATGTATAAATGTTGTGTCTCTCTTTCTGTCTCTCTTGCTCTCTTTCTCTCTACTCCTCCCTCTTTTGGTAAACAAGCAGTCATGTTGTTGTTAGTCCGCTAGGGTCCTGTTTCCATCGTATTCAGTTTCTAATCAATAACCTATACCGTGTGTGTGTGTGTATCCTGTGTTATCATTTAGTTACTTAGTAAATAAATAATTAAACAAATGTGTGTGGTACGGAATTATCAGTAAAGCTGGGTTTTTTGCAGATACAAGGAGTATACAACGTTCAGAATGATGATATGATATGAGGTAATGATTAATAAGTGACTGTTATCGATGTAATATATATATATACCTTCTAGAGTTTAATTCGGGAGATGGTAACTCTTTAAACAACCTCTTCCATGGTGCCCCAAATCCTAATGAGTTAATTGTTACATGATTAATTTAATTGGGTAACAATTAAACATAGTTCGTTAATTGGAAAAAATAATAGTCATCAGATTAATGTTAAGTCACAACACTATATACAGGGTCAGTGGCAGTACCAAATGTACAATGTTCAGGATAATGAAGTATTTGAGGTACAGTCGTGGTCAAAAGTTTTGAGAATGACACAAGTATTGGTCTTCACAAAGTTTGCTGCTTAAGTGTTTTTAGATATTTTTGTCAGATGTTACTATGGTATACTGAAGTATAATTACAAGCATTCCATAGGTGTCAAAGGCTTTTATTGACAATTACATTAAGTTTATGCAAAGAGTCAATATTTGCATTGTTGACCCTTCTTTTTCAAGACCTCTGCAATCCGCCCTGGCATGCTGTCAATTAACTTCTGGGCCACATCCTGACTGATGGCAGCCCATTCTTGCATAATCAATGCTTGGAGTTTGTCAGAATTTGTGGGTTTTTGTTTGTCCACCTGCCTCTTGAGGATCGACCTCAAGTTCTCAATGGGATTAAGGCCATGGATCCAAAATGTAAATGTTTTGTTCCCCAAGCCACTTAGTTATCACTTTTGCCTTATGGCAAGGTGCTCCATCATGCTGGAAAAGGCATTGTTCGTCACCAAACTGTTCTTGGATGGTTGGGAGAAGTTACTCTCGGAGGATGTGTTGGCACCATTCTTTATTCATGGCTGTGTTCTTAGGCAAAATTGTGAATGAGCCAACTCCCTTGGCTGAGAAGCAACCCCACACATGAATGGTCTCAGGATGCTTTACTGTTGGCATGACACAGGACTGATGGTAGCGCTCACCTTGTCTTCTCCGGACAAGCTTTTTTCCAGATGCCCCAAACAATCGGAAAGGTGATTCATCAGAGAAAATGACTTTACCCCAGTCCTCAGCAGTCCAATCCCTGTACCTTTTGCAGAATATCAGTCTGTCCCTGATGTTTTTCCTGGAGAGAAGTGGCTTCCTCGCTGCCCTTCTTGACACCAGGCCATCCTCCAAAATTCTTCGCTTCACTGTGCGTGCAGATGCACTCACACCTGCCTGCTGCCATTCCTGAGTAAGCTCTGCACTGGTGGTGCCCCGATCCCGCAGCTGAATCAACTTTAGGAAACGATCCAGTCAGACTGTGCATAATTACTGATCGACATCTCACTATGCATCCCAACTAGGCCTAAATACTCACCACCATGTGATCAAGATTAGCAAATCTGTGCCTCACCTGGCTCAAACAGATGCCCAAAAGTACGATGACTAAAGTAAAAAAGGACATAACCAAAACATATTAAATCATACATGGCAGCACACAGACGCCAAATTGAAAAAGGCTTTAATATATCAATTAGAACAATATGTTTTACATAATGATGTCAACAGCGATATGTCTTTGTTCATTCATCCTCAAACATATATTAGAAGATTCTCCATTAATTTCACTCCGAAGAGAATTATCAGGAATACTGATGCAGGAAGGCAACGGAAATATGATAAATTAGCTTCATAATATATATAGTTCAATTACAGTTTTTTTCAAACATGCTACAAGTCGTATCCCACTCTTCTACCTCAGCTGTAAAAGGCAGATGGTCCAGAAGGCGCAACAGTGGGGTGAACATTGTAAACAGGGAGAGATGGGAGAATCCCTCTACATAGCAGATCATGGGGTAGATAGAGACTAATCATAATCAAAGTACAATACTTTGTCAAAGTATGTTATAACATGTAATAGGCCTACATGTAGATCCCATTAAAGAAGATACACTACCTCCCAGCCACCCTTGACTTTAGGTACAGAAATAACCAGCAATCCAATTACCTTACTGTGGCATGTTTGCCGCTGCAAGGAACATTAGAACTGAAGCAACTTTTCAAGGCCATCCTTACTACTGGCACACAGTGGCTACTGCTCTCCACATCTACAGCCATTACTCCAATTTTCAAACCTTTAAAAATATTTCCGAACATCATCATGGCGAAACTTTTTGGCAATCATCCACTCATGATCATCGCTGCTACATATTTCAGATTAATGCATTTGATTACATCATACAGATGAAATCAAGTCTTGGGAACAATACAAAAAATGCTAATCTATAGGGAGTCTTAAATGAGGGCAATATTCCAATGACTACATTTCAAATACTTTTTCTGAGGCAACCCAGTTTCAGTCATATGTAATAGAAATGTCAACATCCCATTCTTCACATTTAAACCCAAATCATTTAAGGATTCATACCGATCAAATCAAAACAAGACGGGACTACTTATAACTATGTATGACACATCAAAATATGAGCCTCTGAGAAATCCACAATGTCAATAAACTGGATAAGTGGCAGTGTTTCTTCACCCCCCCACACATTTTCAATGTGAAGAGCAAATGCCATCTTCCCCATCCCTTCTCAGGGAACTAACTGTCAGAGGTGTACGGATGCATTGTTCTAGTTGTGGCAGGTTGCCCTGCTGGTACACCTCTGATAAGCAACATAAGGAAAACATGCCAGAGAGAAAACAGACATCTCAAACTTTGAGATCAAGGGGACAACGGTTGTCAGCCCACACATACGGTACAAGCCTACCCATACGCACATTTGAACACATATACACACACTCTTGGGACACGCCATTTCTGACAACCTATTTCTACAGTTGAAAACAGTTCCGTTTTATCTTGGCTTCCCAAACTAAATGAAAAAATCTGCCTTTAAGAGATATTCTACAATGTATTCTCAACGGAGCATTACATATTAATTTACATCAATTAAAGTAGGTGCAGGACTTGCAATTAATTGCAATTCATCTGATCACTCTTCATAACATTCTGGAGTATATGCAAATTGCCATCATAAAAACTGAGGCAGCAGACTTTGTGAAAATTAATATTTGTGTAATTCTCAAAACTTTTGACCACGACTGTATATACATGGCAGAAATGAGGAGAAAGTGACTGGTAGCAGGATAAATAATAATAATAATAGTAAACAGTATGGCAGTAGTATAAATGGTGAGTGGTGGTGAGTGTGTGTATGTAAGTTTTAGTGTGTGGGTGTTAATGTGAGTGTGTGTGTGTGTGTGTGCAAGAGTGTCAGTGTTGGACAGCAGGTAGCTTAGCGGTTAAGAGAGTTGGGCCAGTAACTAAAAGGTGGCTGGTTTGAATCCCCGAGATGACTAGATGACAAATCTGTCAATTTTCCCTTGAGCAAGGCACTTAACCCTAGCTGCTCATGTAAGTCACTCTGGATAAGAGTGTCTGCTAAAAGACAAACAATTTAAATGTAGGCCTGATGGGTGGATATACATGTAAACAGGCCTGAAAAGTGACTGATAGCCGGAATATATTAATGGTAATGTAAACAAGAGTAATAGTGACCAGTAGCAGGATAAATACTAATGGCAATCAATGAACAGCAATGTAGTGGTAGTAATACATCTAATCAATAATAATTTTAGCAGCAGTGTGGCGTTAGTAATGAGTTTGTGAGTGTGTACGTGTGAGTAAGCGTGACAGTGAAGGTGATTCTGAGTGGGTAGAGACCTGTGGATTGACATAGAGTCAGTGTGGCTTGTCTGTGGGAGAGGGAGAGCAGTAGTTGTTAGCCATATAATAGTATTATGGCCAGGGGATAGAAGATGTTTAGGAGTCTGTTGGTCTGAGCCTTGCTGCACCGGTACCGCCTGCCGGACGGGAGCACGGAGAACAGTCATGTCTCGGGTGGCTAGTCTCTGGCAATTTTTCGGGCCTTTCTCAGACACCACCTGACCTTCTCCCTATAGGCTCTCATCGCCGCTGGTGATCAGGCCTACCACCAGCATGTCATCAGCAAACCTACTCTTACCACCTGAGGCCTGCCCGTCAGGAAGTCCAGGATCCAGTTGCAGAGGGAGGTGGTCAGTCCCATGGTCCCTAGCTTGGTGACGAGCTTGGAGGGAACTATGGTGTTGAACGCTGAGCTGTAGTCGATGAACAGCATCCTCACATAGGTATTCATATTTTCTAAATGGGAGAGGGCAGTGTGGAGTGTGATTGAGATTGCGTTGTCTGTGGATCTGTTGAGGGGGGTATGCAAATTGGAGTGGGTCCAGGGTGTCTGGCATGATGGAGTTGATGTGTGCCATGACCAGCCTTTCAAAGCAGTTTTGGGGAAAAGGAATGAAGGTAATCAGTCTGTGAAGATGCCTGCCAGCTGGTCAGCATATGCCCTGAGGACATGCCCTGAAATACCGTCTGGCCCTGCGGCCTTAAGAGTGTTGACCTGTTTAAAAACCTTACTCACGTCAGCCTCGGAGAGAGAGATCACCCAGTCCTCTGGATCAGCGGGGGCCCTCATGCAGGGCTCTGTGTTGTTTTTGGTGAAGCATTCATAAAATGCATTGAGTTCGTCTGGTAGAGAGGCATCGTTGGGCAGATCATGGCTAGGTCTTCCTTTGTATAATCCTTCCATAATGTACTGTAGCCCCTGCCACATGCGTCTATAATAGGATTCCACCTTGTTCTGATATTGCCCTTTTGCCTGTTTGATGGCTCTGCGGAGGTCGTAGCGGGACTTCTTGTATGCGTTTGTGTCGTCAGCCGTAGCCTCAGGGTTGGCTGCGATAGCCCTGTGAGCAGTAGCTCTGTCCTTTAACTTAGTGTGCACCTCTGTGTTCATCCAGGGTTTTTGAATGGGGAAGCAGTAAATCTTCACTGTGGGGATGACGTCGGCAATGCATTTCTTGATGACGGAGGTGGTTAGCTCGTCGATGCTATCGGCGGAGTCCCAGTCAGCGGTAGCAAAGCAGTCCTGCAGCATAGCTTCTGGTTCGCTAGGCCATTTTTCTACGGAGCACGTCACAGTTACTTCCTGTTTGAGCTTTTGTTTGTAAACAGGAACCAGGAGTACAGAGTCATGATCTGATTTGCCGAAGAGGCGATGAGGAAAGGTCTTGTATGCTTGCTTGTGGGTTGAGTAACTGTGGTCTTTATCGCCCCTAGTGGCAAAGGAGACTTGTTGATAGAAGTTGGGCATCAAGTGTCCTAGTGACGCGGAATTAAAATCACTGGTAACAAGAAAAGCACACTCCGGCTGCATGGTTTCCTCATTGTCTATAGCCTCATACAGTTCGTCAAGTGCCACTTGTTGTTGTGGTTGTCCTGAGGTGGAATATACAGTACACAGCATTCAAATAAACACCAAAAATGAAAACGAGAGAGAGGTAGAAGGGTCGGCATTTGACCCTCAGGTATTCCAAGATGGGTGAACAATAGGTTGAGACTTCCACTGCTCTAGAGCCTGCACACCATTTGTAATTGACAAAGAGAGATACCCTTAATTGCATTGTGTGTGTGTCTCTGTCTCTCACTCTCTCTCACTTTACGTATCCTCAGAAGTGAGACAGTGGAAGAGCATCACAATTTATTCTAGCCCTCTTTCTCTCACACACACACACACACACACACACACACACACACAAACACACACACACACACACACACACACACACACACACATACAGCCTTTAGAATCACTTACCATTAGATGCAGTGAAATCGATGGCCACAGTGAAATTGATCTGGGTCCTGAAATGGGGATGGAGAAGAGAGAGCGAAAAATCAACAAGAGAAGTACATGTAACTACACCTACAAGTCAAACTCCATTACACACCAACAGATATTTATACGCAAAGCACAAACTAAATATATTTTCTTTGGACACACACACAGACACACACACGTGCACACGCACGCACGTGCACACACACACAATGTACATTTAAGACATGGGAATTGCTGCTAATTGCATTGTAGTCACGATCATATTCAAGTGACCCTGGTAATTAATTCACTCTATAGCAGTGTGTGTGTGTGTGTGCATGTGTGCATTTGTGTGTATATGTTTCTGAGCGTGTCAGCACAGTGTGTGTGTGTGTGTGTGTGTGTGTGTGTGTGTGTGTGTGTGTGTGTGTGTGTGTGTGTGTGTGTGTGTGTGTGTGTGTGTGTGTGTGTGTGTGTGTGTGTGTGTGTGTGTGGAAGATGAGAAGGGGCGAGGGGTGCATGACACCCTCACATTCAGCTGAATAACAAGCAATTTGATTGCTGGAGCACTTAAGAGAAACATAATCATCATCCAATTTTCCAACTGATGAAATGCTCTTTAGCCACACTGCTAATTTATGAGTGAGAGAATGAACTCCAGACTACCTCATTAGAGATTAATCCAGAAATAATATAAAAATAGGAAATGGTAAAATATTCACATTTATATTTCGGGATAGAGGGAGGGATGGAAAGAGGGATGGGGAGACTGTGAAGAGACCACTGGTGGCATGTCTGGTGGGGCACATACAGTACCAGTCAAAAGTTTGGACACACCTACTCATTACAGGTTTTTTTTTTACAGAAGTGTGATTGACTTGGAGTTACATTGTGTTGTTTAAGTGTTCCTTTTTTTTTTTTGAGCAGTGTATATACCGTGCCAGTCAAAAGTTTGGACACACCTACTCATTCAAGGGCTTTTCTTTATTTTTACTATTTCTACATTATAGAATAATAGTGAAGACATCAAAACTATGAAATAACACATATGGAATCATGTAGTAACCAAAAAAGTGTTAAACAAATTATATATTTATTTTATATTTGAGATTCCTCAAATAGCCACCCTTTGCCTTGATGACAGCTTTGGCACACTTGGCATTCTCTCAACCAGCTTCACCTGGAATACAGTCTTGAAGGAGTTCCCACATATGCTGAGCACTTGTTGGCTGCTTTTCCTTCATCCCAAACCATCTCATTTGGGTTGAGGTCAGGGGACTGTGGAGGCCAGGTTATCTGATGCAGCACTCCATCACTGTCCTTCTATGTAAAATAGCCCTTACACAGCCTGGAGGTGTGTTGGGTCATTGTCCTGTTAAAAAACAAATTATATTCCCACTAAGCCCAAACCAGATGGGATGTCGTATCGCTGCAGAATGTTGTCGTAGACATGCTGGTTAAGTGTGTCTTGAATTCTAAATAAATCACAGACAGTGTCACCAGCAAAGCACCCCCACACCATAACACCTCCTCCTCCATGCTTTACGGTGGTAAATACACATGCAGAGATCATCTGTTCACCGTCACCGCGTCTCACAAACCCAATGGCGGTTTGAAACAAAAATCAAAAATGTGGACTCCAGACCAAAGGACACATTTCCACCATTCTAATTTCCATTGCTCATGTTTCTTGGCCCAAGCAAGTCTGTTCTTCTTATTGGTGTCATTTAGTAGTGGTTTCTTTGCAGCAATTCGACCACAAAGGCCTGAATGACACAGTATCCTCTGACCAGTTGATGTTGAGATGTGTCTGTTACTTGAACTCTGTGAAGCATTTATTTGGGCTGCAATTTCTGAGGCTGGTAACTCTAATGAACTTATCCTCTGCAGCAGAGGTAACTCTGGGTCTTCCATTCCTGTGGCGGTCCTCATGAGAGCCAGTTTTATCAAAGCGCTTGATGGTTTTTGTGACTGCACTTGAATAAACTTTAAAAGTTCTTGAAATGTTCCGTATTGACTGACCTTCATGTCTTAAAGTGATGATGGACTGTTGTTTCTCTTTGCTTATTTGAGCTGTTCTTGACATAATATGGACTTGGTCTTTTACTAAATAGGGCTATCCTTGTCACAACACAACTGATTGGCTCAAACGCATTAAGAAGGAAAGAAATTCCACAAATTAACTTTTAAGAAGGCACACCTGTTAATTGAAATGCATTCCAGGTGACTACCTCATGAAGCTGGTTGAGAGAATGCCAAGAGTGTGCAAAGCTGTCATCAAGGCAAAGGGTGGCTATTTGAGGAATCTCAAATATAAAAAATATTTTGATTTGTTTAACAATTTTTTGGTTACTACATGATTCTATATGTGTTATTTAATAATTACATACAATAATTGCCTACCATTCAGCTGTTTTCTAACCTCATTGTCTGAACCGTTAACGTTAGGTAGCAAGTGGCTACTGTGCTTGAAATTTAGCTAGCTTGTTGCTACCTGGATAGCTACTAGTAAACAATAGCTGGAACGACCGAGCGAACAGACGCAAACTGGCTGAGTCAATTCAGTGGCTAGCTTTGCACTTGGCTAGCTAACAGTAGCTGCTAGGGGTAAGTCATAACCTACACTTGTGTTTTGTTTATTACATATTGATAGCCCGTGTCGTTCAAGGAATTCGGGACATGAGTGACTAGTTAACGTTAGTTTGGCTCTCTCTGTGTGTTCGTGCCGTGAAAGGAGGGGTTCTTCTTTGTCTGAAAGCAATGGCTAGCTAGTTTGCTAACTATTCTAGCTAACTAACTGGCTGAATAAGTTGACGACGGACTCGCTCAAGCTGTCGGGACTAACCCACAACGTTAGACACGGACACGAACGATCTGCTTGCGTGTTGATACACTGGTGGTTTATTGTGGCTGAGTATTGGCGCTAAACCGTGTTGTTGGAGACCGGCATGCTAGCTGGCTGTGGCGTCTTATGACGAGGTGCCCAGACGTTTTTCACGGAATAATACTGCACCTAGTTAGCTAGCTGAATAAACTAAGTTAGTCTATTCCTAGAAAACATTGAACCGCTGTAGTTTACAACAATTATAGTTTCTGAGGTGGAAGTTGGGAGAGTTATATTTGGGAGTTGTGGTGAGGGAGGCCCCGCTCTCTCCTTTCCCAGATGTTTAGTTCATTTCATTCCGATCTCCTCTGCATTATTGTAGCCATCGGCTGCAGCCTGTCAACTATGCCTCTGCCTATCCCTGTTTTCTCCTCTCTACACAGGCTACACAAACGCCTCACACCGCGTGGCTGCTGCCTCTCTAAGCTGGTGGTCCCTGCACGCACCACCCATGTGGAGTTCCAGGTCTCAGGCAGCCTCTGGAACTGCCGTTCTGCTGCCAACAAGGCAGAGTTCATCTCAGCCTATGCTACCCTCCAGTCCCTCGACTTCTTGGCGCTGACGGAAACATGGATTACCACTGAAAACACTGCTACTCCTGCTGCTCTCTCCTCGTCTGACCATGTGTTCTCGCATACCCCGAGAGCATCTGGTCAGCGGGGTGGTGGCACAGTAATCCTCATCTCTCCCAAGTGGACATTCTCAATTTTTCCCCTGACCCATCTGTCTATTTCCTCATTTGAATTCCATGTTGTCACAGTCACTAGCCCATTTAAGCTTAATATCCTTGTCATCTATCGCCCTCCAGGTTCCCTTGGAGAGTTCATCAATGAGCTTGACGCCTTGATAAGTTCCTTTCCTGAGGATGGCTCACCCCTCACAGTTCTGGGGGATTTCAACCTCCCTACGTCTACATTTGACTCATTTCTCTCTGCCTCCTTCTTTCCACTCCTCTTTTGACCTCACCCTCTCACCGTCCCCCCCTACTCACAAGGCAGGCAATACGCTTCACCTCATCTTTACTAGATGCTGTTCTTCTACTAATCTCACTGCAACTCCCCTCCAAGTCTCCGACCACTACTTTGTATCATTTTCTCTCTCCCTCTCCTCCAACACTACTCACTCTGCCCCTACACAGATGGTAATGCGCCGTCGCAACCATCGCTCTCTCTCTCCCACTACTCTCTCCTCTTCCATCCTATCATCTCTTCCCTCTGCTCAATCCTTTTCCCTCCAATCTCCTGATTCTGCCTCCTCAACCCTCCTCTCCTCCCTTTCTGCATCCTTTGACTCTCTATGTCCCCTATCCTCCCGGCCAGCTCGGTCCTCCCCTCCAGCTCCGTGGCTTGATGACTCATTGCGAGCTCACAGAACAGAGCTCCGGGCAGCTGAGCGGAAATGGAAGAAAACTAGACTCCCTGCGGACCTGGCATCTTTTCACTCCCTCCTCTCTACATTTTCTTCATCTGTTTCTGCTGCTAAGGCCACTTTCCACCACTCTAAATCCCAAGCATCTGCCTCTAACCCTAGGAAGCTCTTTGCCACATTCTCCTCCCTGCTGAATCCTCCCCCCCCTCCCCCCTCCTCCCTCTCTGTGGATGACTTCGTCAACCATTTTGAAAAGAAGGTTGATGACATCCGATCCTCGTTTATTAAGTCAAATGACACTGCTGGTCCTGCTCACACTGCCCTCCCCTATGCTTTAACTTCTTTCTCCCCTCTCTCTCTAGATAAAATCTTGCGACTTGTGACGGCAGGCCGCCCAACAACCTGCCCGCTTGACCCTATCCCCTCCTCTCTTCTCCAGACCATCTCCGGTGACCTTCTCCCTTACCTCACCTCGCTGATCAACTCATCCTTGACCGCTGGCTATGTCCCTTCCGTCTTCAAGAGAGAGAGAGTTGCACCCCTTCTCAAAAAACCAACACTCGATCCCTCTGATGTCAACAACTACAGACCAGTATCCCTTCTTTCTTTTCTCTCCAAAACTATTGAGCGTGCCGTCTTTAGCCAACTCTCTCGCTATCTCTCTCAGAATGACCTTCTTGATCCAAACCAGTCAGGTTTTAAGACTGGTCATTCAACTGAGACTGCTCTTCTCTGTGTCACGGAGGCTCTCCGCACTGCTAAAGCTAACTCTCTCTCCTCTGCTCTTGTCCT